AGCACATTGAAATAAGACATCACTTCATTAGAGACCATGTCACTAAGGAAGATGTAGTTCTAGAATTTGTTGATATTTTGCATCAATTAGCGGATATCTTTACAAAACCTTTAGACAAGGAATGTTTTTGGACACTTAGGATAGAATTAGGTTTTACTGACCTATCTTTACTTAGTGTTTAAAATAATTTTAGCACTTTTAAGACTAAATGAAAAATGCTTATAATAGTAATTTCTGATTACATTCATTGCTATTAGTTAGGGGGAGTTTATGATTCTTGATGAAAAATTAACTTTATGTTCAAATATAGTTTAAGGATTAATTTGATTGATTGAACATAATTAATTTTTGATATATGAGTTGCCAATACCACTAGAAAAGATTAATTTAGCATTTTGAGTGTTTAAAATATATATATTTTTAATTATAGGGCAGAGGGAATCGATACCCCTTGAAGGGGAACCAATTCCCCCTTTGAATGAGAACCGATTCCCCTGTAGGGGAATCGATACCCCCATGGGGTTTTGGTTTTAACACGGGCAGAACCCAATATTTGCTCAAACCCTCTATTCTTTCTTAAACATCATTCACTCACTCTTTCTCTCTAAATCTCCATTTTTGCCAAAATCATCAAATACAAGTCGGAATTAGATCGTTCTTCAACTTCTAATCCTTGCAAACAACATCACATTCTCATAAAATCCAAAATTTCAAGGTAATATTTCAAAATCCTCTATTTCATTGATTTTTGAACTTAGGACTAGTTTTGATTAGTTCTAAGATGAACATTACATCGGCATTGGTTATATGATGATTTTACAACTAATTTCGTCAAAAACACTCAATTTTTTAAAACTATCTTTAAATTTCGAAATAAAAAAAAATAAAAAATTGTTGTTTTAATTGATGTTTTTGATTCAATTATGTTTTCATAAAAACTATACGTATTATGATTTTCAAACATTATTTTCCAAATAGTTTTTCAAAAGATTGCCCTTTAGGATTCGGTTTAGAGAACCTTGAAATATTGAGGACTCATTTGAGTTTTGGGTTTGATTATATTGCATACATGTGTTTAAATTTGCAGGTTACATGTTCTATTCTGATTCTTAAACCATGTCAAATCCTAAATGACCTGGGACATTGTCTAGTAGCTCAAGTCAAAATCGACCTCTTATTCCTCCACCCAATCCAAATAACCCAAATATGACCATTATGAACTCTTGTTTCAACGTACCTGGTTGTGGACAAGATCTATACCGTATGTACCATACTTGTTTTGAGTCATACAAAATCCGGGAAGAACGTATCCCTTCGATCCAAGCTATAGAAGATATGAACTTCCAATATCTTCTTACTCTTAAATCCTAGAAGTTTGATAAACTCTTTAAACTCAAACCTTTGGTTTATCATCAATTAGTCCGCATTTTTCTATTCCAATGTGGTATGTGTCCAAAACGAACATCAATCTGAAACTATAGAAATTCGATACTATCTTTTAGGACAATTCATTTTTATTGACCCCGGCACAATCGCTACCCATTTTGGACTAGATAACTCAGGTTTAATAAAAAAGAGACTGTGGATTCACCCTATAAGTCTAAGGATAGTGAGAGTACCCTAAGAGCTCATCGTGATAGATTCCTTCATTATTTGATCTCTTGGTGGTTTAGACCATCCGGAGGTAGGTACTCATCCCTTAGGAGCATAGATATATGGTGGATATATTGTATCCAACATAAAAAGAAGATTAATCTGCAACATATCATCTTTAGTGAGTTTCCATAAACATTGTTCCTTCCAAGAATATAGAAACCTTGGTTTATGGTTGTCTCCTTAGTAATTTGTTTATCAAACTTGATCTTTGGGTCAATGTGTTTATCGTCCCGAACTTAGAACTTTTAATTGTGAAACATTTTGATGTTCATGGATTGTTTTATTTTGGGTGTTTTTTGGATAATTGGATATTTGAACTTACATGTTTATATATTTGGTTTGATTTTCACTTTCATTTTGAGCTTAATGTTTATTTTTGCATCATTTACATATTAGTTGCTTTATGACCAATTTTTGCCATTTCACATTGTTTATGAATATTGAATTATAGAACTAATGGCTAATCTTTCTCTTGATTATGATCTTAGCAGCTTACGCTATATTTAGTTATCAATTGGCTAATTGTTTTTCAAAAACTTGTTTAAAATCTTTTAAAGGTCTTTTTGATTTAACAAAAAGGGAGAGAAATATTAAAGTGATTTTTAAAGGGGAGAAGTATTAGAGTAAGGGGGAGTAATTTCAAAACTTGATTTCAAAATCTTAAAATTACTAAAATGTTTTGTTATATCAAAAAGGGGGAGATTGTTGAAAACATTTTGATATTTCGATATAACAAATTAAGATAAATGAATTTTAAGATTTTCCAAAATGATTTTCTAAGTATATTCAATATAATTATTCGAATATCAAAATATTACTCCAAATCTTTCAAATGTCATTTTTAATCCTTACTCAAGTGTAAAATTAAGTTTTAATCTTAAAATAATTTCAAAACAATTTTACAAAGTATTTCAAACCGTTTCAAAGCCAAAAATTCCAGATTGTCCAGAGGGAACCGATTCCCCCCAAGGGGTACCGATTCCCCCATGAATGGTTTGGCTCCGAGAAAAACAAAATGCTTGGAGGGAACTGATTCCCCCAAGGGGGTACCGATTCCCCCCTGTTTAACGGTCGAAATATTTGAATTTTATACTTAGGGAACCGATTCCCCATGAGGGGTACCGATTTCCCCCACGCTCCAAGTTGTTGTATTAATGGTTTTCACACTTAAACGGCTCCATTGACTCCACTAATCATCCCCAACGTTCAGAATCAATTGAGGGAGTATTTAAACAAGTTCTGAAGCCTTTGATCAACAAGAAATCATAGAGAAACAAGAGAGAAAGCATCAAACACCAAGTTTGTGCAAATCAAGCCAATTTTCCTTTCAATATTCATTTTGCTTTCAATAACACCATTTGTGCTCATTTGTAATTATTTTTTAGTGTTCTTTTCTTGTTCTAGAATTGTGCAAACATCTTACCTTGTGAGGTTTTCCTTGTAAGTTTGTAAATTTGTGTATTTCTCTTTGAAAAAGAGTGTGCTCAAGAATTTGAGGTATAATTCTTGAGGGAGTTGTAAGGTTACTCTTTGTCCTCAAAAGAAAGAACAAATTAGTAAATTTGTTGGAAAATCCTTAGTGTAGATAGTTAAGGTAGTGGACGTAGACTTTGGTTGAGAAAGTCGAACCACTCTAAATCGATGTGCTATTACTTTCAATTTTCTGCAAAAGCTTCCACCAGAATTTTAATTGCCAATTCACCCCCGTCTTGGCCGATTCCGTCAATCGATTAACTCAACATATTTTAATTTTAATCTAATTAAATGTTTTATCCAATCCATCGAGTTGCATTTATGGTTTTGAGGAATCTGGTAGCAATAATCAACTGTATAAATTTGGTAGAGATGGTGAATTTGAAGAAGGGGTTAAACTTCTCGAGGACATGGTTTATCATGGTAAGATTCATGATATTATAGCTTGTACTTAGGGCTGTAAATGAGACGAGACAGATCGCGAGCTACTCGAGATCGACTCGGTCAAGGCTCGATAAATACTCGGATCGAATGGAATCGACTCAAGTTCGAGCTTGACTCGAATTCTTAACGAGCCGAAACGAGCTACTTGATACTCGACTCGAAAAGCTAGTGAGAATATTAAGATTTTATTTTTTTTAAAATAAATTATTAATAATATTAACATTTATGTGTTGATTTTTTTTAAATACAGTAAGACTCTCATGTATTTAAGGTTCAAGTTTGAATTTGAGTTTGAGACTTCAATCTAGTTAAGTTTAAGAATTTTTTTCTTCATTTCGAGTATTTTTGAGCTGCTCACGAGCTTTAGTTCAGGATTTCGAGTTCGAGTCAAGCTTAAAAATTTTAAACTTGAGAGTTTTTGAGTCGAGTTGAGCTCGACAATACTCGAGCTCGACTTGGCTCGTTTACACCCCTACTTGTACTAGCTTAATTCGTGGGTTTTGTAAGAGAGGCAAGACTAGAAAAGCTACCAGAGTTATAGAGATTATCGAAGTTTTCGGGGTTGTTCCTGATGTCATAACTTATAATGTGTTGATTAGTGGGTATTGCAGAGCAGGTGAGATTCAATGGCGAACTTACCTTTAGTCTATGGATGAGCCTGCCACATATCCCTCCAATTAGGCGTGAGTTTAATCCTAATTGGTTAGAGTTAAAATATATTAAATTAAAATTAAATATAATCTAATTAAGTTGTGACAAATGTCACCGTCTGATTGAGAGATTGGTTTTATTAAATTAATTAAAAATTAGGACTAAATTAATAAATTGAATAAAAATTTAGGGCTAAATGTATAATTATATCAATTTGATTAACTACTAATTTTATTAAATATTAATGACAAGTGGTTTTATTGAATATAATTAAATAGTTAGATGGTGTGATTGACAAAATTAAAAGATCGGTGGTAAAAGTAAAGGATTAAATAGTAAGGTGGTCAATGATATAATTTACCCAAAAAAAATTATGAAAAATAATATAATTAATAATTTATTTTAAATAATTTACCTTTAAACTTTTAAATAATTTATAATTATACATTGAGTCATTTAAAATTTAAACTTTTATAAATTAAATTAAATGTTATTTGTTAATGATGCTCAACAATACTCATCAAACGTGATAAACTCGTCCTAAATTATAATATATTTAAACAAAGCAACAGAATAATTCTTAACCAAATTCATTTATAATGAAAATAAAAATATTCTTACCAGATTTAAATGGTTTTCACATCCTTTATGATAAAAAAGAATACTTTAATAATCAATTAGTTATTTTTAAAATTTTAATAAAAAATAAAAAATTATTTAAATATCAATGATCATCTGTGTAATTTTTTTTTTTTTAAAGAATTTTCTTTACATCCACTCCTCTAAAACCCTTCTGAATCGAGTCTTCCCTCGACTTTGCGAATGGGCAATGGCGGCTTCCAGGACCTTACTTTCCCACCTCCGCCGTTCCAGTCTTCTCTCCACTCTCCGTCACGCGCGTATTGATCAAACTCCTTCCTACCTTTCATATCAATCTCACCCCAACCTTGCGGCAGGGCCCGTCTCCCCAATCGCATCATCCATCACTCGGCGTTCCCTTTTCACTTCGCCCGACAACGTTGAACAAAATATCCTTCCGGTTCGTGCAATCATTTCATTGCTCGATGGTTACCATAATCTCACTGGCTTCCCTTGGTAGGTCAATTTCTCCCCTTTGTTAGGTTGCCGAGAATATGAACATTTGCATTTAAAGTAACGGAGATTCTAAATTACTTTTGCAGGTGGATAACTATTGTAACTTCCACTGCGGCTATGAGGTTTGCATTGTTTCCGGCAGTTATTATTCATCTTCAGAAGGTGAAAACGATTGCAGAGTTAGCTCCTAAATGTAAGTTTCTTTTACCATTACTTTAAAATCGTAGCATTACTTGCTCGGAACATGAATTAGTCAATATACTAGTGTTTGGCTAATGCATCTCGAGCTTGAATGGTTTGAGTAATTATTCAAGCTGAGGTCTGGTATTTTTGTGTTGGCCCAACTAGCTTTTGAGTTAAATATAGTTTATACTTTATCTTCAGTATCTTCTTATATTATACAGATAGTAAATAATATTTATTTTTATGTTTTGTCTTATTTGATCCGAGTTTGATTTGACTTACTGATAACCAAGCCTATTCGAGTCAAACTTCTGTGTCCCAATTATATTTTAAACTGATATTTTCTTTTTTGGTATTGAGTTGGCCTTGAGTCCGGTACTATATTGTTCAGCTTGGTTACACCCTTAGCAGTGAGGCAGTTACTTCCATTATTTAACCATGTTTTCACACGCACATATTACCTTTGACAATGAACTGAGTTAATGCCATCACTTTAACTGATAGATGCATGTTGATCTTGTGTGACTCATTTAATCAAATTTATGGAGAATAACAAAAGAAACTAGGTTGTATATATATTGACAGTTTTGTTCATGGATCATATTCATATTATGATGGTGGTTTTGATTGGCACGGGAACTGTTTGCAACATTTGAGAAGTTGCTTTGAAGTATTGTTTACTACAGCGTTATGTGTATTTTTCTTTAACCTTAGGTTCAGTGTTGTCAAGGTGGGTTTTTTTAGGTGATGGGCATAAAAATATGTCCTCTAATCAAGTACTCTTTAATATATATTTTTTAACTGTTTTCATTAGATGTACCTTTACTAGTAAGAAAGATAACAATATTGACCTCTTTACTTCTCAATATTTGAGTATTTGACATGAGACTTAGGACCATAATGCTATCCTGCATAATGACATTAAAATTAAAAGAAAATTTTGCATGTTACCATACTAATCTGTAGAGTTTATCATGATTATATGTCTTAACCTTTATATGCATATACACACACACAAACACATACAAAGGTACTCGCATATACATAAATATACAAGTCGCAAAGCTTTGCGACTATATACATATTGCACCTTCACTCACATGAGCTCTTTTATGCTCTGCAATTTAAGATTTTAGTTTCTATAGTGTGTTTGTGCCCTTTATAACACTGCTTTGACTTAAAATCTCTTGGCTTCTTGTCTTACGTAGACCCTTTCATTGTTTCACATGGCTCTTTGTGTCTACCTTTTACTGATAATAAAATGAACAAAATCCTACAATCACTTAAGCTGAAAATAAATCAATAACCTGGTGCAATCAATTGTAAGCAGTGAAAATCTTTCCTATACTTGGTGCCGGACTAGTGACTGTTTCATTTTTTTTTAATTTCAAATGCATTCCTTTGTAAGACATCATCAGTGCATTGTTATTTCAGTAAATATGTAGATACTTACTCCAAAGTGCCTTCATATTTTTTTTTTGATAAGAATGTGCCTTCATATTCAGTTTGTGTAAATGTCCATATCTGGGTTTTCTGACTAAAGATTGTAGAGGAACTCATATTTATCCATCATGTGGAATTTATGAAAAGAAATCCTTTTTCTTCTCTTGTTTGAATGTTTAACTTGCGGATAATTTTTTTGGTTGACATTGATGCATTTCTCATAGTGCCTTCTCCATTGCCACCACCTATGTCAGGAAGAAGTTATAAAGACCATTTTATACATTTCCGGAAGGAAAGAAAGGCAATTGGTTGCCCTTCGTATTTTTGGTTTCTTGCTCCCTTCTTAACTCAGGTAATTCTCCCTTGCAGTCCAAGAAGGCCTTGCATGTATGATATATATAATATATTAAACTTTAAGGAAAACATCCTGTTTTATTAGTAGAGTTACTTTACATATTTTGAATGCAAGATAAATCTAGGCATGGTAAAGGGTTATATGAAGAGGAAGCTTATAGATTGCAGGAAAATTTTGGAATAAATTGTTATTGATAATTGAACTACTCAATATTATCAAAGTTTGTTGGACTCAACAATTCTATGCTCGAATTGAATGACATGAATTTAGCAATATTACTTTTGATGCATATTTCAAGAGCAAACCCTTGCAAATGAGGATTGTTGTTATGCTGCTTGTCAAGAAAGGATGTTAGTGCTTGATATATTATAGTGAGTACTACATATTTATTTCATTCTTGATTTTGGGTTTGAAAATGAACAGAAAATCTAGTATCAATTGCCTCAATAGATAAAGAATTGATATTTTGAGAATAAATAGTTTCATGACATGAGATATTGCAATCAGACAATACTAGCTGATTTTAACTAACCACAGAACTCTTACTAAGAGAAGCTCTCTCTCTATCCCTGTTTTTCTTTTCAGAAACTCTAAAAAAAGGTTTTGCGTGGCTTGAATAAGATGTGTGCCTATTATCTCACTACCTGTTCCTCTTAATTTGTCAGGTCCCTTGCCTTCTCTTATGGGTGACTAGCATTCGCCGAATGTCATTGGATAATCATCCTGGATTTGATAATGTAAGGCATTGCTTGATTATTTATTCGAACAGTGACTTATAGTATGCAACAATTAATATAAATGTTTGAAAACATGACATATGATGGCTAATCACTCTTTGTAATTGCTAGTTTTGAAGGTTTATCCAAGTAATTGTGTAATTTTTTTGGTGAAAATTTTGTTCTTAGAAGTTAATGTGTAATAGCCGGCAATCATCCTTTTTATTGCTCTGCCTCTGGTCTCCTGCGTGTATTGCATCACAGTTGACAAATTATGCATGTTGGATAAATATTCAATGGCACTTTCAAATTCATAACAGTAGTGCCTGATATAGTATCTAAAGTGTTGACAAGTTGTTATTAGACAAGTTCAAGATGATATTCTAAACAATTGTCCAGTTAGTTTTTCCTCTCTTGATAAGTGGTATGCCGTATGCTTAAGCAATGAAAAAGAAGAGTTGTATAAGAATTAAAATAACTTTAGTTTTGAATATATTCTCTTATCAATATGCTTTTGATAAATATGGCTGTACTGTTGGAGATCAAATTATGTAACGCAAGTTTAGTCGGACAAATAAGTACTTAGAAATCCTATTTTAAAGTTTCTGCTAGTAGTTTAATTATCTACTGAAGAGTTTGCAGCTGTTTTTATCATATATGATTATATGATAAATAGTTTTGATGTTATCTTGAGCTGTAATTATTTTCAGTTGGGCATGGTTCTTTATGTTAAATATTAATTCTTGGATGTCATGCATTTTAGATTGTTCTATTTCTAAATTGGAGCTCTTTGTATTTTCCGATCATTGCAATCAGAACTGCACAGCTCATGGTGTCATCTGTTATTTTTTTTGCCAATGATCATAATATTTTTGCATTTATGAAGATTGTGATCGAGTATGAAGTTTGTATTTCAATTTTAAATTTATGAGTTTATTGTATTGACATTTACTTGCACTTTGTCTCTATTTAGATTTACTTTAGGTGAAACTTAATGTATTTCTTAATTGTTTGGTTCTGGAAATATCTTCCTATAATTTGACTGAAGACATTTAAACAACAGAAGAAACCTTTAATCATTTGCACATTTTGCTGCATTGTTGCTTTGATTGTACTTGAGATTTGAGTTTATCTAGTACATTAAAATGTAAACTAGAGTGTTGAATGTTTGGCTAGGGTTACACTTTCAAACTGCGTATCACATTTTATGATCCTTTATTTAATAAATGCATTGAGTTGTTCAAAAGTTAAAACTCTGACATGATTAATTCCAGGGTGGTGCATTATGGTTTGTGAATTTAACCGAACTTCCTCACAGTGCTTCAGGACTCATCTTTCCATTTTTGATTGCTTGTTTGCACTATCTGAATGTTCAGGTATTGTAATCTTCTCCATCTCTGTAACATCTTGTTAATTGGTGTTATCCCACTTCAGTTAAGTGTTAGGTTTCCTGAGGAACTGTATCAAAGTTGGCTCCCTCCACCTATTACCAATAGGTTTTAAGTGGGACGCTTAACATATCTTTGACTACCCCACCCTTGTGAAATCTTTGAATCATGATCACAAGTCCAAATCATGACTAGTTCATCATGGATGAGGTACAACCTGAAGAAATTTATGTTTTATATTTAGATTATACTAAAAGCCAGGTCACTGATCAATAATTATATTCCTATAAATAAATTGAGAACTTGACAACATTCAACTTTTATGTCAATGCAATTATCATGGGGAATATTATGGATTTTGGTAGAGCCGCATTTTTTTGACTTCTAGTGAGAGAAGCTCCCGCTTCTCTCTTGATTCCAGACGCTTTCAAAATTTTCTTTCGTTGAAAATCTCATCCATGTTGGTGAGAGTTAAAATTCAAAAGTCTGTCTGATCACCGTCCTCCGTCCGCCAACACCGTCCGCGACCACCGTCGGCCGCCACATTCCGACCCCCATTTGTCACCGTTTTTCTCAGTCGAGATCGTCTTCTCTCGGGGTTTCCGAATATGGCCTTAGATTTGCGATATGATCATTTAATCGGCGTAAATCTAAACACTGTTCACCACCGCCGCCGCCGCCTACGGTCGTCCGTTTTCGAAACCGCCTTATCATCGAGCTCAGCGTAGAATTGCGACCAAAACCCCCTATTCTAGTGTCGAGATTCCTTGCTATTTTCTATGAATCTGCCTTGAACAGCTTCGACAAGGCCGGATCCCGTCACTGTTACATAGTGGTTTTGCGCCGACTAGAAAGACCAGTGGCATCATCGTCCCAAGTGGTTCATAGCGTCTAAAACCCAGCTGTTGGGTGGTTCCAACGTGTCTGATTTCTTGGACGTTGCCTTTGGTGAAATTCTTTTGGACGCTGCTTTTGGTGTTCGATTTGATTTCTAGGTCTTTCCTAAAACGCAACAGCTTGGAATGTTTCGATTTCCTCCTGTAGCCGTCATATCGTCCCGACTCCGAGGTAGGTTACACCCGGGGATATTCTATGCCTTCTCACCTTTGGGATTAACCAATGGAGAGCCCAAATTACAGTTAATGGCTATGTTCGAGTTTTCTGGTTTGAAGAGGGTAGCTACGAGGTGACTAAGAGTTCTTCAAACACAGTCGGGAAATAAAACTTGCACTGATTGTATCCAAAAGAATACTCAGGATGCGTCGGTTTCCTATGGTGAATGTAAGGATCTACATGTTGCGAAGAAAAGGGTCAAGGATGGTTCTGGTATTAATCGACAGCAGCCATTGAACGGATCTTTGAGCGACAATATGAGGAACCAAGCAGCAATTGATTGTAATGCAAGGAATTATCACGGTGGTGGATTAGGAGGTGTTCGGGTGAAGTCGAGGTCGATTAAGGATAAGTTAAAGAGATCCCATTTGCAGGCATCGTCAGCGAATAAGGATACATAATCAGCTCAAAATGCGGCAGTGGTTGCCATGATGGAATCAAGGAGCTACCCAAAAAGGGGTGTTGTGATGAAAAGCCTGGTGAAGTTGCAAGAAGTGGGAAAATTGGGAATAATAATTGGTGGAAGGAAGGCCATCCAAAAATAAGTGACGGGTATAGAAGCGGTAGCATCACGTTATTTATCGAAAATCTACCAGAGAAGATCCATTGGAAGAGGTTTGGAGCATTATTTTGCACCCACAGTCGGGTTATTAAAGCTTTCATTCCAAACAAAAGAAATTCGAAAGGGCTTCTCTTTGGTTTCAATCGTTTTGCAACAATCGAAGAAGCAAGGAAAGCGATCTCAAAAATGGATGGATCTCATATTGACAGGTGCAAAATTAGTGTATCTTTGGCTAAATTCAAACCTTACCAGTCTTTTTGGAGAAAGACCACTACAACTGTTCACCGTAATTTTGGGATGAAAGGTGATTCGAGGAAGAATCATTGTGAAGTTGAAGGTGTTATGGACGAAGAAAAACTTCAAGTGTTGAGTAAATGTCTAGTGGGGTGGTGCAAGGACTTTATCAAAATAGGTCATCTCGCTAGACAAATGCAAGCGAAGGGCCTCACTGGTTTCTCCTTAATGAGAGCTGCTGGAAATGCGGTATTAATGATTTTCGAAGATTCTGCTTCTTTGAGAAGTGTCAAGAACGATAAATCAGAGACTCTCGCAAAGTGGTTCTCCAAAGTCTAAGCTTGGTCAGAGAGTTTGGTAGTGGAGTGTCGTCGAGTATGGTTAGTTTGCGAGGGTGTTCCTTTTCACGCATGGAATTGAGATACTTTCAAAAACATTGCAGATAAGTGGGGTTATTTATTAGCAATCGACGAAAGCTGTCAGTCACCATCATCTTTTGATCGGGCAAAAATTCAAGTCCTCACAAAGGCTTATGTGAGAATTGATGCGACGTTGGAATTGAAGGTCGGTGACAACTCCTTCAAAATCATGGTGCATGAGATTGAGTCTTCATTCAAACCAAACTCTTGGGCCCCTGACGAAGACGAATCTTATTAGATCTCCTATCTTCAATTGTGGTTTTGATTTAGTTTAAATGGTTGCAGGTGTTGCTTTTCTTTTGTATTATGTTATTTTGTGTTGTTTTTTATCCTATTGTTGTAGGTGTAACTTAGAAATAAGGTGATAGTCGACTGTGGCTTTTGGATGAGGATGTGTGAGTTTAAGGTGTTTGTTGTAATGGTGTATATCACCATAGGAGGATATTCCGTGTTGTCTTATGTATTGGGTATTATTATTAATAAACTATGAGGTACTCTTTTCTTCCTTCCAATTTTTGCTAATATACTTCTCAGTATGTGAACGAATATGAAGGGAGTTTTTAATGAGACCTCCAACTTCTATAAAAAAAAATGGGGAATATTATGATTTGTTATTTGGGCCTGAGACTGAGATGCAGAATTTGATATGTAAAATGAGCATTTTAGTACTTTTAATAATTACTTTGAAATTCTGAAGTTTTAACCAATCAATGCCTTTTGAAGTTGTGGTTTTTTAAAATGCTGGAAAAGTTCCACTCTTTTCAAAATACAACCAAACACTACATGCTATTCCTTATTTACCTTTTAGATCTATATTGCAACATAAATGGATGAACTACAATGAGAAAACACAGATATAATGTTCACTAACATGGAAGCTCATCAGAAGATAAGCTGTCCAACATGAGTGAGAAAGGTAGAGAGAGAGTGAGGGAGAGTTCGAAGGGTTCTATTCGTCCGGCCAGGAGTAGGCCTTTGCTGGGAGAAATATCGTGGGTTGCATTCGTGGATAATCTTAGCAGGCGAGTGCAGAGAAGTGCATTATGGGATCGTTTTAGTCATTATGGTAAGGTGATTAAGGTGTTCATTCCATTTGTTAATAGGAGACCATACTACAAGGATAGTACGTTTGCCTTTGTGCATTTTGCTAGCAAAGATGATTTGCATCTAGCAATTGAAAAGATGAATAATGTCTCGGTCGATGGGAGGAGAGTATCGGTGTCGATTGCCAAATATCAGAAGGAAAGTATTTCGAGGAGTCTCAAATGTACTAGTGGGGCGAGGTCTTCAGATGCTGGTGTGGATGGGTTGCTCAGGAAACTTCCATCATCTCAAGCTGCAGGTTCTGGAAAGAAGGAGATGATGAATAGTTTTCATAATGGAAGGACATACAAGGAGACGGTTGTGGGTGCAAAGGTAGTTGAGGGCCAATTAATGGGGAGCTTTGGAGCTAAGAAGGAGGGGAAGAAGCAGTTAGAAGTTTTTATTCCAATGGAGGATAGATCATGGCTGAGATCGTCGTTGACAGGTATTTGTAAGCCAGTATTTGAAGTTGAGTTTGTGGAAAGGGCGTTAAGGACAGAAGGAATCAATGTCAAAGTGGTTCAATGGGGTTATGCAAAAAAAGCCTGTCTGGTAGTTTTCCAGACTGCTGAGGAGAAAGTTGTAATGATGGATAACAAGTGGGAGACCTTGTCCTTCTGGATCGAGAGGTTGGAGCACGTTATGGAAGAAGAGGGTGTGCCATTACCTTACTGTGCAGTGTCTATGATTGGTGTTCCTCTTAACTGTTGGTCAGTTCCTTTCTTCACAAGCTTGGCGTCGAAATGGGGTAAACTAGTTAAGATACAAGAACAAACTACTAACAAAGTGGATTGTAGAGTAGCTCACATGCTATTGAGGGTTGAAAGTCCCTTTGATATTCCTCCCCACGTTATTATAAATACGTATGGGAGATCGTTCATGGTGAAGATTAACGTGGAAGGAAGTGATGATTTTTTTTCGGAGTTAGAGGATATGGTTGAAGATGACGGAATAGTGGCTTCTACGGAGAAGAATTTGCCAGACTGGAGCCAGCGGGATGTCCAGGAGGGACAGGAAGAGCAGTGGGGTGATCAGTCCTTGTCAGACTCTCAGGACAGGGTTGAAGCATGGGTTCGGGGTGATAAACAAGGGGTTGACACGGTTATCGATGAAATTGAAAATTATAGAAGGGACAAATCATTTGTTGGCTGTTGACTTTTGCTCTGCGGAGGTAGCAGCAGCAGGTGATGTTCCCGGTCAACAGAGAGTGTCAGAGGATTTTAATGAAGAAAGAGAAAAGGAGAGATCCGTGGAAGGTGTCACCTTGGGCCAAGATAAGGGTGTACAAGAGAATGGGCTTAATACCAGCTTGGTCAGAAGTCAAATAAGTGGGCCTGAGCAAGGGAGTTTAGGGTCGAACATTGTCCGTTTCCAGTCTGCAGAAATGTCAATTGGTGATCAGTCTGATTCAAGCTTGCAGAATCGGTCCATATCACCGGCGAGACGTTGCCATATTGGGAAATGTGCGCCAGTAAGTAACATTGAAAGAGGTTTTTATAAGAATGTTTATTCTAGGAGGTGGGAAGTTAAGAGTTGCAATGGCAGGGAGATAGTCACCTTTGCAGAGAATGAGAATGAGGGGGTGGCAGAGGCTTTGGAGTGTTGGAATGTGTCAAAATTGTTGGGGGTGAAATTTAAAGGAGGGGAGGAAGCTTTTATGGCTAAAATGGTTCCGATGGTGAATGATCTTAATTCGAAGGAGGGTCAGTAGATGTAGAAGTAAGGTTATGATTAATTAATGATGGTTGCGTGGTCGATGATGTCTTGGAATGTTAGAGGTTTGGGTAGAAGAGTCAAAGCTCGAGCTATTAGGAGGTTTGTTGATGAGAAGAAACCTATAATTTTATTTTTGCAAGAGTCCAAATTGGAGGTTGTTAGCCATTTGTTAGTGAGGAAAATGGGGGGGAATTTTCTTACTGGTTCGGCAGTAGCTCTTTCCATAGGTTCCGCTGGTGGATTAATAACCTTGTGTAATCAGAAGGTATTGGTGCTGGAAGATATAGTCATTTATAGCAGATTTGTAGCAATAAAAGGGACTATGGAGGGACTTTCAGGAAGTTGTTGCTTCATTAATGTGTATGGCCCTAGTCTGGATGCAGAAAAAGAGACATTTTTCAGGGAGCTATTATCTTTTCTGGATAATGTGGATTGCCCTTTATGCTTAGGTGGAGATTTTAATGTAGTTTTGTCACAGGAGGAAAAAGAAGGAGGAGCTGTGAATTCGGTGACTGTGAATATTTTTAGGGATTTTGTGAGCAAGGCAAATTTGCTTGATTTTCCATTGTCAGGGGGTCGTTTTACATGGTGTAATAATAGGGAAGCTCCTACGTTCGAGAGGTTGGATCGGTTTTTGGTTGACCATAGATTTGTAAGTTTGTTCCCGAAGCTAAGTCAATCTTTGCAGCCAAGGTCCGTTTTCAATCATAATATTATTCTGCTAGAGAACAAGGATTGCAATTAGGGCCTGAAGCCGTTTAGGTTATTTAACTATGTTATGGAGGAGGAGGGCTTTACCGAGATGATGGGTAAGGAGCTGGATAATATATGTAAAGAGGAAAAGGGTAAGCCCATGTCTAAGGTGCTTAAGCGGGTGAAGGGAGTGGTTATGAGATGGTCTGGGAAGGGTTATTTAGAGTTGTCTGAGTGGTTATGAGATGGTCTGGGAAGGGTTATTTAGAGTTGTCTAGTAAAATCAAATTGTTGGAGAAAAGAATTCAAGTTATGGAGTTGGATCTGCAACAAGGCCTTCCTTCGGTGACAATGAGGTCAATAATTGAAGCAAAGAGAGATTTATGGGAGCTCCAAAAGAAAGAAGAATCGATTTGGTTGCAAAAATCGAGATTGAAATGGAGATTGGAGGGAGATAAGAACACCAGATTTTTCCATCATTCTGCCATAGTTAGAGGAAGATATAATGGCATTAAGTCCCTTTTAGTGGGAAATGAAGTCATAGAAGATCCTACCTTAATTAGGAATTCGGTGGTAGAGTTCTTTAAGGGTCTGTTTTCTCAGGAAAATTCTTTGGAGGCTGAGGATATGAATTTGGATTTTTTAAAATTATCGGAAGGGCAGAGTTTAGCACTTGAAAAGCCATTTTCGGAAGAAGAAGTTTGGAGAGCAATAGCTGATTCGGATAGTAACAAAGCTCCTGGACCGAATGGTTTGAATTTAGGCTTTTTCAAGAAATTCTGGTCTAATTTGAAAGATGATATTATGCTGTTTTTTAATGAATTTTTCGAGGGGAAGGAGTGGGACTTGGAGGTGAATCATTCCTTTATTTCTCTTATTCCTAAGAAGATTAACCCGGAGGGGATGGGGGATTTTAGGCCAATTAGCCTTGTGGGAGGGCTATATAAAATTCTGTCTAAGGTCTTGGCTAGGAGGTTCAGTTTGTGCATTAATGACATTATTAGTCCGTCCCAATTTGCATTTATCCAAGGGAGAAACATTCTGGATTGTTCTTTCATAGCGAATGAAGGAATCAACTTCTGGAGGAAGAAAGGGCTGAAGGGGGTGGTCTTTAAGGTGGATTTCAAGAGAGCTTATGATTCAGTTGATTGGCTGATCTTATTGAAAATTTTGGGTAAAATGGGGTTTGGCGAAAAATGGCGGTCTTGGATGTTTCAGTGTATGCCTACAGCTTCTATTTTTGTTCTTCTGAATGGGACTCCTACTGAGAAAATTCAAATAAAAAGAGGTCTTAGACAGGGGTGTTCGTATCACCCTTGCTGTTTAATTTAGGTGGTGAATTGCTTCATTTGCTGTTAACTAAAGCAGTGGATTTGGGATTATTTTCAGGTTTTGAGTTGGGAACTCATGATCGTTCATTCAAACTCTCGCATCTACAATTTGCGGATGACCTAATTATTTTTACAAAGGCATCAATTCGGGATTTGAAGAATGTTAGAAGGGTGCTTTTGATTTACGAATTATTGGTGGGGTTGAAGATTAATCTAGTCAAGAGCAGAATTTTTGGAATTAATATTGAGGATGATGTGCTTGTTGATTGGTCTAAGGAAATTGGCTGTTCAGTGGGTAAATTTCCTGTAGACTATTTAGGCTTGCCTATGGGGTCTAAGAGAAACTCTATTGCAATGTGGGAGCCAATCGTGCATAATTTCTATAATAGGTTGTCTGGTTGGAAGGCAAATTCTCTAGCATTAGCAGGGAGGGTGGTGTTGATCAAATCTGTTTTGTGCTCTCTCCCCACTTATTTCCTTTCTTTATTTCGAATTCCAGCTTCGGTGCTGCAGAAATTAAATTCTATAATGGCTGCCTTTTTATGGGGGGGGGTCGACTGATAAAAAAAACATACATTGGGTGAACTGGGGATTGGTCAGCAAACCGAGAAGGTTGGGGGGTCTTGGGATCCCGAACTTAGCAATATTGAACAGAGCATTGTTGGGTAAATGGGTATGGAAGTTTGCCTCTGAAAAGGATTCTTGGTGGAAGAGAGTTGTTTGTTGTGTGAATAATTTGGACCTGAACTCCAAAATGGTAGAGAGTTCTTTGACTGCTCGTGCATCTTGGATTTGGAGAGGAGTGATTAATAACTTCTTTTCCAATGATGAGTTTGGTGACTGCATTAGGAGTAATTTGCGATGGAAAACTGGAAATGGCCGTTCTGTGGTATTTTGGAATGATGTTTGGTTGGGAGAAGTCCCATTTAAAGTTCTGTTCCCTAGACTATATGCTCTTTCAACGAATAAAGAGGGGAAAGTAGTGGAGTTTAGGGAGGAACAGGTTGCAGGATGGGTGTGGGATATTCAATTCAGAAGGAATCTGGCGGATTGGGAGATTGACCAATGGTTACATCTGATTTCTATGCTGAATAACACCTCTTTGTCTCATGATGAGGAAGATTGCTGGATTTGGTTAGGGAATGGAGAGGGTTGTTTCTCTACGAATTCTTGTATAAAAATTTTCCATGGCTCGGAAGGTATTGAGGGGAATCAAGATGTTTGGGACAGGAAAATTTGGGTAGGGATAGCCCCTCCTCGTGTTGAAACCTTCTTATGGCAAGTAGTTCATCTGAGAGTGGCGGTTAAGGAGGAACTGTTTAAGCGTGGTGTGGTTGGAATTGAAGATTCCTTATGTCCGTTGTGTGGCAGATTTGGGGAAACTGTTTCTCATCTTTTTCTGCATTGTGAGGTTGCTTGGGGACTGTGGGCCAGATTTTTGAATATGTGGGATGTTGCTTGGGTGATTCCTAATAACCCTTAGATTGTATCACTCAGTGGGATGAGCTTCTTCCGAACTCTAGTATTTGGAAATTCATTCCAAGGGCAGTCTTGTGGACGGTGTGAAAAATCAGGAACGAGGTTATTTTTAAGAATGGGAAGCTAGATGTGGTGTTGTTGTTCTTTATTGCTCGTTTCAGAATAGTTTCTTGGTTTGCTGCTAATTTTGATATGCTGATTCCTTTCGACTCGCTTGTGGGTGATTTAACACTTGCTGATTTAATGGTTAGTCACAAAGCAAGATCCAAACCGTCTTGCTGGGTTCCTCCTCCAGTTGGTTTTATTAAGATTAATGTTGATGGAGCGATGGTGAAGGGGTGGAACAAAGGAGGTATAGGAGGTCTGATTAGGGACAGCAGTGGTAGGTTGATTCATTGGTTTTCTGAAAAGGTTGGGGGTGGTCCTCCGATTATGGCAGAACTTTTGGCGTTTAAGAGAGGGTTGTGTTTGCTTATTGATTCAGGTGAGGTTCTTAATCAGAGGATTATTTTAGAATCAGACTCTACTAACGCGCTGAAGTGGATTAAAAATCGGGAATTAAGCACCCCTTTATTCCAATCATTGGTGAAGGAGATCGTCTCTATTATGGAAGGGAAGGATATTATGTTAAGGCTAATCTTGAGGGCTGCCAATTGGGAAGCGGACAGTTTAGCTAAAGATGGTATTGGTTGATTAGCTGTCTTTGTATTTGAGGAGTTGGAGTGTATGTTTCATTTTGTTTCTGCAGGTTTTTGTTCTCAGTATTATGTAATTTGTGTCTACGTTTTCCAGCTGATAGTGGTTTTTAAGTCTTATGCTTTCTGGGAAGGTTTATTTTGTTATAAGAGTGGGTAATGTACTTTTCTTCTGTTTAATAAAATTATAGGTGCTCTTTTCCTCCTTTCATTACCCTTCAGGTTACTTTCATAACATGGAGGGTAAAAAGGAGGTTTTTTATGAGGCCTCATCTTCTATCAAAAAAAAAAAATGTTCACTAACATGATTCATTATGTTATCAGATTTCTTTTGCGTCATCTTCAGTTGGGAAAGTTGATTCGTACTTGGCAAAAGTGAGTAAGACGGAATTGTGCACAGTGCTAGTAATGGCTTCCCTTTCACCTTTTGGAGCTAGAACATATTTTCATGCCAACTTATTCAATTAATTTTGCATAAATTCTTGCTTTTTGGAATTTTCATTCAACAAGAATTTAGAACCATTTTTTTTACAGGTTTACAAGTTCTATTTGGATTTTCTGACATTGCCTCTTTTCGGTGTTGGTCTGATGATTCCACAGGTAACTGTGTAATGTATCCCCTTCCCTTTTCTTTTATGTCGTATGCCAAGTTGTTTCATTGAGTAGATATGTTTATGAACTCTGAATTAGCTGACGAGAGTCATCTTACTGGTCTCTCTAAAATAGCTCATGATCTTCCACTGCTGCTTAGGTGAAATATCTGTAATAGTAGAATTGTGTTGCTTTCTTTAATACTATGTTTGGGTTAATGGTAATGAAGGAAAAGAAATGAAAGTTCAAGTAAAAGAAGGAAAGGATAGTAATTTGAACTTTTTTATTAGCTAAACTGTGGAAAGGAAAGGAAAGGAAATGATTAATCATGTGATCTTTTCCTTGCTTTCCTTTCCCCTGTCTAACATCAATCCAAACATAGGTACAGTATCTCCCTGATGTTGGTCTAACATATTGTTATGGTCCCCTGTGAAAAATCTAGTTATGGGAAGATGCAAAACATAATCTGAGTTAGTGCGGGAAGGATTAGAAGTTTGGGAAGGGATTTTCTTTAGCCGACCTATGATGCTGGGTCATTAAGAGAACCTGTAATCTCTAAAGTTAAAAAAACTGAAATGACTTCTGCATATATTTTATTGAATTCAAATAACTTTAAATACAGCCTGTGGTGATTAACTGCCATTAAAACAAGGAATAACATGAAGAAGGAAAAACAAGGAATCATAAACTCCTAGCTAACAACCTAAGACATAGGAAAAAACATAGCAATAGTTCCCACCCCGGTTCTTGTGGCCTGCATCTAAGCCTATTTATTATTTGCTTTCTTATTTTGCAGGGAAGTCTAGTCTACTGGGTCACCAATAGTTCATTAAGTGCTATTCAGGTTTGCTATTCTATTTTTCCTTTTATAGACTTGCCTATCTAAAAGCCAGTTATGCCATATCATTGTATAATTTTTTTGCTTTTATGTGCTGAATCTTTAAAAATGCTTTTGACATGTAGTGAGACCAATAATTTACAGTTTATTTGGGATTGTTACTGTTTTTTTTAAACAGAAATTGTGTTCAATTATTATGTATTGGTTACAAGTGTTTTAAAGCAGTAGTACAAAAGTCAGTGTTTGGAATTTGATTTAAGAAAATGGTAAGGGCATAAATATATTTTCCTTCAGATTTCCTTGAAGTTTTACTTTTTTTAGCAAATATTTTTACTTGCATGGCAACAGCGTGGAAAAAACTTCCAATTTTTTGGAAACATCAAAAATTTTCTTCCAACAATATGCATTTAGCAAAAATTGTTTTTGTTCTTTATTTGTGAAACAAAAAACAGAGCTACCATACACATTTCTATTACAAGTTTTGTCAAAAGTGAAAAAAAATCAACCCATAAACAATCCCAGAGATTCTGCTAATGTTTAATTTTTCAATGGTGAATATTAACTTCCCGAATCAATTTTTTACTGAATATCCAAATATCTTTAAAAAATATCATTTTATTTATGCTTTGCTCTGGTTAATTGATTTAATCAGCGTTTTAAAAATAACGATTAACTTATGCCAATATAACAATTTTCATTGGGAGTTACTCTTTTAATGAGATTTACTTAGATGTCTGATAAATGCACAGAGGTTGAATTTGCAAATGAACCTGATAATGCATCACTGCAGTCTGGGACCCAGGATGTGTGAGTAGGATCGCTAGCTGTTCCTTGTGGTGCAGTGACCATGGTAGCTAGGGTTTCTCTAGTATACCTCTAGTGTATTTCCAACCTAAGCTCCCACTTAAGTGTAAAAGACATGCATTTTACAGTCTTTGTATACACATCTTTTAATTTATTATGCAACGTTCCTTCAACCTTTTTTCTTTTACTTAGATTACTGTTTTTCAATAGAATTAATTTTTTTTATAAGATTTTTCAATTGAACTAATATTACTTTGATTTTACTAATTTGATTTTCCATATTTTTCAGTTATGAATTCTTTAATAAATATCTAACAGATCCTGAAGTTTGATAATTCTAGACAATTCTTCTGTCTTTAAGCTAAAATTATTTAATGAGTTAACCCTTCTCTATGGACTCTACAATGTTGCAGCAATTAACCCTCAAACATTCTGCTGTTCGTGCAATTCTTGGCTTACCAGATAAGGGTGCTCCCACGGGACAAGCACCATCTGTGGAGCCAACCTCAACACAGCTTATAATTCCTTCTCCTGTTCAAAACTTGAGTCCTAAAGAATTGCTTGTAGTAAGTGCCTAAGAATATATATATATATATATATATCAACACATGATTTAACTGCCACAGGTTTGTTAAAAGTTCTTACATCATTGTAATTGGAACTGCTTTCAGCTTTCAGTTAAACACTTGTCACGAGAGGAAAGGGACCATGCAGTATTGTTGCTCAAGTTAGTATTTTGTCTTTTATTTTCCTTTTTTCCCCCTTGTATAAATTGAACTGATTTGTGCGTACAATAAACTTTTCTTCCCAGATTGGCACTTGAAAAAGATCATGCATATGTAAAAGCTATGGTTCTTATGGGACAAACTCTAATGCAGAAAGGACTGATGGAGGATGCTACTGAATATTTTGAGCGTGCCATTTCAAAGGTTTGATATTATTTTATTTTGTTAAAAAATAGTATCAGCTATTGTTGAATACACGAGCCATTTGGTTAAAGTTAAAACAATGGTAGCATATGTTCCTTATAGTTGAAGTTCCTTTTATATTGCTTTGATGTAAAGTTGGGAAAATTCTACCGTGAAGAATTTTAATTTTTATAAATTCTACAGTGAATAATTTTAATTTAAGGTAAAAAAACCGGCAAACTTCCCAAAATGGTACCAAAAGATGCATAAAATGTTATCGAAGATATTTATTTGTTACTATATTTTTGGGTATATGCCCAAAATGTTACCAATTTTTGTATGTATTCATAAATTGTTACATGTTTTGTAAGATTTTGAGTATATACTTAAATGTGACAAAGTCTGTAACAATTTATACATACACAAAAATTGGTAACAGTTTGGGTATAATACCCCAAATATTGTAATAATTTGTACACCTTCGATAACATTTTATGCATCTTTTGATACATTTTAAGCATCTTTCCGTTTTCCCCCCTTAATTTAAGGTTCCCCACCCTAGAACTACCCACAAATTTGTTATTGTGGTTTACTTTGAGACCATTTTTTATGTTAGCTTGTAATCTGTTTTGAGAACTACGTCCTTTGGTACTCAACTAATCACAAGCTGATTTTTTTGACACCTGTCAGCTGTCTCTCGCTGGCCCTCCAACAGAGCTTGAAGATGTTGATCATTTAATGTTATCGTCTCAATGGGCTGGGGTTGTCTATATGAAACAGGTAAAACATTATTGTTGAAATTTGTTCTCAAAATATTTATCAACGTGTCATTATTTATTTTTGTGTAAGCTATTCACCATCTATAAACTCCTGATCCGGCTTTCCTGCTATATCATGGAATTTGGTTGGTAAACCTACCAGGTTTTAGTTCATTCAAAGAGCCATACAAATGCTCTTCATTTTATTTCCATTCCCTTTGAATCTCACAGGGGAAGAAGGCAGAAGGACTTGCACACCTGGAGAGAATTGCAAGTTTAAAAGAACCAGAGGATCCAAAGAGCAAAGCTCATTACTTTGACGGATTGTTATTGCTCTCCAGGTTTGAATTTTAAGTTTATATCTTCATCCAAAAAGTCTATAATCTCACAATCTCTTCATACTTCTATGTGTATACAAATGCTTTCGTGGTTCATGCATGAATTGGGGTCTTTTTTTGCAGTGCATTATTTGACATTGGGCGCAAGGCTGAAGCATTAAAGTTTTTTGAAGGAAGTTGTTGCTTATAATCCAAAATATGACTATTTACTCGAAGAATTTAAGGACGAAGGTGATTTCACGAATAATCTTGCTAGCAGTCGGAGAAGGGATTATTGATTTTTCTGCATAATTATTTCATTGTTGGGTTATAAACTTTTGACGTGCAAAATTATAGAAAAATTTTATGCAGCAGGAACACGCCGTTAGCTTATTACTCTTATTAGGGACGCCATATTGTCTGAAACCTTGAATTCGGAATAAATTTGATTACATTTATGAATTTATCATATGCTGACCCTTGGTCTAGAACCCTTTTTGGTTTTCCATATTATTGAATGTATAGATATTTTGATTAGTTGATGAACCAAATAAGACTTTAAACTAGTTCATGTCGTGGCCAAGACCATCCCTGTGCACCATCATTAGCCAATTGAAGCACTAATTTTTGTATGGTGTTAAAATAGTTACCTGGTAACGTGTATTGAAAACTATAGAGAGTTTGAATCCAGTTCAGAAGATTAGTTTTTGGAGTAGTGAACTCTTTGGCTGAGGACGCATTTTCTCATCCCATTCTTTTCAGTAGTGTTATAAAGGGGAACCTCTTTGAAGGGTGGTTTATATTCCATCTTATGTGGAAATTCAAAATCAAAGACAGTGTAGGTTACGAGGATTAAGTGGTACTGTTAATGGTGTTTAGTATGGAGCAAATGGTTTTTGAAGCAAGCTGTAGATCATAGTCCACTAGCTATTCAGAGCATGTGCTAAAGATCTCCTTGGACCACTAAAGCTTTACTGTGGAATCCAACACTAACCAAGCAAACCCAAAATTTATTATTTTCACAACATTCTATAATTTATTTATCATATGCAATGCAAGCAGTTTCATTTGCAGTCCACCTGAAAGCCTTTCGCTTGTGATGAAGAGCTTAAACTGTACAATAGTAGAAATTACATATGAATACATTGGGAAGACAGGAGCTACATGTGACAAGTCGAGTTCAGCGTGCAGTTGGGAAATGGAGAGAGGAACTATTACATACAGGTATCAAATATAGACAAAGTCACCTCTCTTCCTCCAAGCATCCGTTTTACCGATGCCACTATGTTGTGTTGTGCTGTACCGCCTGTTTCCCCCTCCCTTTGGCAAGGCCAGTAGGCCTATTCACCAAGGCAAATAAAATAAATCAGGTGTACGGAATGAAAATTTATCGGATGCTGCCTACTTGACATTTGCAGAAGGTATAGTACTCACAAGATCAATGGCTTGAATCATCATTACTTCTGTTAGAGCCGCTGGATCTAGGGGTTGAAGCTTTGCCCTTCCCACTTCTTCCCCTACTGCTACCACCTCCCAAGCTCTTTGAACTCCCCATCCTACTGCAAGCTCCACCAGAGTGCACATCTGATAGGCCATTTTCCAGAGCTCGAACTAAATTCTCAAAGAAATTCCGTGTCACACTGTTATACCGGTAATTAATTAGATAAAAGACGGTAATACCAATTCTCTCACAATATATAAGGGTAAGAGAAAATACTTCACTAGTTCAATAAAAAGGGAACAATCTCCTTCCAAAACAGTTCCTTCTTTCCATGACAAACCAAACGAATAATTTCTTTGATAGAAGTTCATGGTAAGATTATCAAACTCTAGTTCATACCGAGTTGCATAAAGATTTTAGATGCTAAATATAATTCAAAATGAAAATTACCTGGTCAGTCCAGCAAGTTTTGAACGGAACTTGTTAAAATCTTTTAATGGTCCCTCTGCATTGAGGTAAACCTGAAGCTCCTTCTCTGCACATTGATGAAGTCTTTCTAACCCAGACTCAGCCTCGCCTGCAAGGCATACGGGCAATTAGAGCAAAGTGAACAGGAATATAAGGCCATTGCTTATAGCTTATAAATGCAGATACATAACCTTGAAGGTATTCAAACAATTGCCTTTTAGCATGTTCCTCTTCTGGTAAATAATATCCATATGCATAAGTCCATTTTAGGACTCTCCTACATTCTACTATCTGCACAAGAACAGAGACAATGAGCTAAAGTATATAGCTAGTGACAAATTTCCTTTTGGATTTACCTGTAGCCATGCCTCGATGATGAACTTCAGTTGTGATTCAGGTTGGCACTGTGTCTCACTCAACTTCTCAAGCTACGTTTACATGTAACCGTCAGCAGGTGCCATAAACTAAAAAAATAACAGTCTGAAGCAAGATAAAACACAATAAAGTGGGAGGGAACAAAACTAATCATCTTGCTTCCTCTAACCTTCTCTTCTTCCCTCTCTTCATTTTGTTATTAGTGAATTTTTATATTGGAATTATTACTGCCTTTTATATTTTTGGCAAGGGAGATTGAACCCTAGAGGCGTGGTAGCCAAAATGATGAAGATTGGGTGGGACGTCACAAGATTGGATGGGCGAGAATCTCCCACCAAACACTCTAAAGAAGTAGGCAGAGTGAACTAATATCGCGAAAAAGCGAAGATCTTTGGCAGCTCCACATCTTATATGACGTGTCTTGGGATAGGAATTTTTCACCTTAAATGATAAAATGCTTCAATGATAACATATAATTATCACTGGAGAACACGAATAATGAGCAACATAGTAACCTCATTTTAACGTGGAAGGCAATTAAAAATCCCATTAAATATTTCATCGGTTACACAAATCTTGACAGTTCAAAACTTAACAAGTGATACAGCCACACTTCGCAGATTCAATAGGTAAAACTTGGATGACTAGAATATGCAAATGTCATGAAAAGGAACACATTAAAACCAGTAGAAATACATCATAAACATAACCAGAGTTTTGAATTTTCAAATCCGTCTCAATGAAATTCACAAAAAATGGTGCAAAAATAATTAAACAGACCAGCATCAACAAACAGGAAGTCGAAAAAGGTTTAATAAGTTTGGCTTACATGCACAGACTGCATTTGCTGTAGATCAGCCTTTGCCTTTTGCCTAGACTGCATAAGTCGAAAAATGTTTTAACAATTAAGACACATGTTTTCTTATTTAATATAATCGCATAATATCCACAAGGTACTCCCAGAAAAAAAATTCAGCAGTCGGACCAATAAATACTGCAAATTCTACAAACTAATACATACTGATTGGTTGGTTGCCCATCGTTCATAATAATGGGTATATTTCTCTACAGATAATTTAGCCATCTCTCTTCGTTTCTCCTCCTCATCAAACTGTAAACAAATAGTATGGATCAGAAAGATATAAAAGAGGGCAGTTAAATCATGATGCACAATGACTAATGACAATCACTGGGAAATGCTGATGGCAAGAATAAGGAATCGTTTCCATACTGTGCCCTCTTTTTTTGCTGTCTCATAACGGTTGCAAGCATAATAACCACCAGTTACCTCACCATGATCTGCCCATGCACCAAGGCAAAGCCTGCAATGCATATGTGGTCAACTGACAGAAACTTCTATACAAAAGGAGAAAACATGCAGTTGGCACATGGGAGAAGAAGAAACTTGTTGGCACAAAATCTTTTGGTACAGCCTTCGTCAAAACAAAAATTTCCTCTCTAGTTGCGTATAACTGACAGTAGGGAACTGTGGCATAATTACTCGTATATAAACCCATTTGGAAAAGAGGGGGGGGGGGGCAGCCAAAGCCAAATAAGGTAGTGAGGGCATACTTCAATCAAAATACAAGCACTGCATATGTAAGAAAAAAAGCTCACCAGCAAAATTCAAATTTACATGGTGGTGTGCATGTCATATGCATACATCCGTGGTTCTTCTCTATTGGACGCTTGCATTTTGGACAAGGCTTGGAGTTGGCCAATATCCTGAAGATTAAAACGGACCAACATTATGAAAATATAGCATTGTATAATATAAAATGCGGAACTATTTAGTAATTGGACAGTCACAAAAAAGCTCATTTGTAGAAGGGGAAAACGAAAAGGAAACTTCATTAAGAAAGAAACTATCAAAGAAGGCATTCACTTTGTTCAATTCAAATGTCTTAGAAGAAAGTTAAATAATATGTAATTTAGGATGTAGAACTGACAAATTAGCTATCACTTGGACTCAAATTAGCATTCTCCAATTCTCCCCCCCCCCAAAAAAAAATTCAGCGTATTTTGAAGATCTTCGGAAGGACATGCCAATACCCATATGAATATACATCAGACACGTGTCAAACAAAAATACTTACAGAAAAATGAAGGGTTGTAGTAACACAGCATGTTTGTATAGACTTACAAACAGTGTTAACGAGAGATATTTATTTCACTTCATTTGGTAGCAAAAATAGTTAAATGCATAAAGCAAACATGAGAATCTATAACTATAAACATTACCATTTCCATAACCCTCTAATGTTATCATCTGACCTCAATAACACCCATTTCACCCCACCCCAAGGGTTGTAAGGAATCCCTTTCTCACTTTTTCTGATATTACTTCTGGTTGTAAGGACCTAGGTTTTAAAAAGCGCGCCTAGGAGCAGGGCGCATAGAAAAACGCCTCTGAAGTTCCAGGCGAAGCGGCATACAAAAGGCTCATCAAGACGGTCGCTTTTGAAGCCTTCTGAGAAAAGCGCTAAGTGCACCGGTTTGCCGCCTGATGAGTTTCACCTTTTTCTGTTCTTTTGTCATACCCTCACCTTTTTATATTCTTTAGTCATAATAGGTTTATAACACAGTAATATATAATAAACCATAAAGGACACAATTTTGCCGCCTGCCCCTTACCCTTCTTTATTATTTTGTTCTTACAAACTAAAAATAACAATAATATTATAAATAGAATAGAATAGAAAAATATAATTAAGATACGAAAAATATAATTAATATATAAATAAATAAGAAATAATTATAAATATTTTATAAATATAATGAATTTTTATAATTAGACTTATAATATTAATAAAATTTATTTACACAATATTTTCATCTAATATTCTGTATCAATTTTAAAAACAAATCATTAGAATTTAGTACATATAATGAAAAAATTGATATAAAATATTAACTAAATCAAAAATTATATATATATATATATATATATATATATATAAAGTTATATAACTTTAAAATATTAGCTTTTGGAGTGAATCAATAAGTAATGTGTATGGATATGTACTAGACTTGATTTATAATTTTTTTAGCACAAAAGGTGCGCCTCGCATATAAAAGTCGCAGATTTCTCCACATTCAAGCTCAGCATAGAGGGAAGTGAGAATAAGAAAGTTGCTACGTTAAGGTGGGCCATTCAGCATCAAACTAGCAACCTCGCTATTTGGTATTAATTAAACAACCTCACGCATTAGAATAAATCTAGTTATTATAACAAGCACCATACCAATTCATATTTTCAGACTCTGCACTGTTTTTCAGTATCCACTTGGCTACAGTTCCACAATCAACAGGGCGGTGAGCATCCTCAGTGCACTGAAAAGTCAAATGCACATTATGGGTCAAAATTCCAGTTTCCAATTTAGAAAATGAAAGAAAAGTAAGCAGAAAGCCATATGCATGAATTGTTAAAAGTACTCTAAACAGAAACAGCACCAAAGGATCTTACATTCCAACAAAAGACATATGAGCAGCGACAGGTAACATCATAATTTCCACTACCAAAAATAAAATCCACAGCGTAATCACACCCTGGTGCAGGACACCATTTGGTCTGCAAAATAACACATAAGAGTATAGACATGTTTATGATACCCAGGAGGTGAACATGAAATAATGAAAAAGGCTATACCTCTATTCTTATTAGTGATTCTGGTGCAGAATATATATTGCAGTAATATAGCTAAACTAATAAAATTAAACTCAAAAGGAACATATCAAATCAATCAAGTCATGGTTCTAATCCATGACAAGCTTGAAGAAACCCAATTTATGAAGCGACAATCGAGACAGAAATATTAGCAATATTTTCATACACCCTTAAAAAAAGACACAAAAGAGAAAGAAACATTTATGAATTACACAGTACTCCCAAGTGTGGTTAGGCACCACAAATTAATTGCAAGTGTAATTACTAGTTTGATAATTACGCCCTCTTGTAATCACAGGGAATTCTAATTCCCTAGACATGTTTGATTGTCAAAGTTCAACAATTCAGTAGGACCCACTAGTTAAAAATTGAATAAAAAATGTTTAAGTCATTATGGCTAATTATCCGTATAATTCCCCCAATTCTCAACCCCCTATAAGAATTGAAGAGTTGTAAAAACCAGAAATAAGCTGATGACAAATGTTCTTTTCTATTTTTATATAAATAAGCCGGAGCAGAAATAAGATAATATGGTTAAAATCTTGTTCACACAGAACTGCTAAAACGTACAACCAATTTTCAATTCAACGCCAACAAGATATTAACCATAAGGCACTAAAAGCCACAATACAAAATCTTACAACAGCACTACCAATTCAGTGGCACCTTATCCTTCAACCCAAATGACATTCATGAAATAGAATGAAAAAAATTATGTATGCATGTGCAAGGAGAAATTTTTTTGCAAACTTTAACTAGTGAAGGGAAAATAAATGCACAAATCAAATGCTACTCATGGGAATAAGTCCTATTACTTAACATTTTAAGTATTACCTTCCTATTGTCTTCAACATAAGATCTAATGAGATAACGGGAATACTTCTCTCTTTCTTCATCAGAAGCCAATGCATTTATCATATCTTGACCAACAACAGCAGCACAGGATGGATCAGGACATCGCAACGTCAAACATCCGGGACCATCATTAATGGCTGTGCTAATATAGCCTAAACAAGGGGAAATTTTATATATATATATATAGAAACTATATAAGAAAACTTCACAGGCAATAAAATATGGAAAATCTAGTAAACACACAAAAAGTTCAAATATTTGCAAAAAAACTCTCATACGGGAAAAGTCATTAAGAGATAAGCCGTTTCCTCTACCAAATTAAAAGTAAAGCTAGAACATCTGAACGATAATCTGGTCTACCATTGAGCTTAAAATCATAAGCAACTAAGGTACAACGTAGATAATCATGTAAAAAATATTTTTTAAATGTACAAGCTCATTACCCCTTCCCAGACAGCTTAGATATGTAAACCCAAAGCTTTAAGACAAAAACCTCCCAAATCTAACCAACAACTTTCAATACAATTCTGAAACTGAAAATTAAAAAGGGAAGGGTCCATTGGAGCATAAGCCTATATAACAACATTAATCCTTACAAGCTCTTCTAATCAAGAAGGGGGTTTTTAACGAGGCCTTCAATTCTTATAAAAATATATATATATATATATAACAACATTAATAATGGTACATAACTTCCACATAGTGACAAGCATTGTTGATCTTGCTTAAATCAAATTCTCTGAAAAAGTTCATTGGCCATGAATAAGCTTAATTATATCAATAGCCTAATTTCCACCAAAGTTCTAGACGCGTGTGCCCCCTAAAATCAGCAGGCACAAAAACTGATGGTTGCAATACAGATGACGAGCCTCTTTAAAGTATATTGATAATCTCTTGCAAGAGTTTCTTATCTTTCTTTCTTCAAAATACTTTTAGCAGTTCATGTAAATTATCAAATAGCCATTCCCTTGTGACAAAGCTTGATATAGAACAACAATCACATTCTTGGGAATGCTTTAAATCAATATCAAGGAAAAGTAATGAGCAGTAGTTGGGAAAAGTTTGTTATTATATGCAGAAAGAAACTGAGAACTTTCCAATCAACTTCCAGGATAATAGTTAGAACCAGATTAATCAATAAGGAAACCCCCTTATTATGCAACTGAGAACTTTCTAAGCACTGAAAACCATAGGTTCTAGACTGTATCTGACACCATATACCACTGACACTTTCCTAGATTCAAAATCCTAAAATCATTTGAGAGGCTCAAAATAATGGTATCGATAGATTCAACCAAAAAAAATATCTATTCTAGAGAAAAATGCCTAATGTAACATCTTTGATAGAAACACAAGAAACAAGGATAATCGAACAAGGAAATTAGCTTCAGAATGGATGGAACAGCTGAAGAAATTTCATTAGCACCCAGGACTTAGAGAGGCTAACAAAATCACATCCAACTAGAAACACTCCATACATTATCTTTGCTAATTTAGCACTCCAAAAGAAGCTTGAGAAAACACAAAACTTAGATTATATTCCACTTGGGGGGGGGGGGGGGGAAGAAATAAACTGAATTGCACAGGTGACGAAGATATATAAAGTTTTCTTTTCTCCCAGAACCTAAAAGTAGTTTTCTTAGCCTGAACTTACTGATCTTCCCTAAAAACTTTTGCCGAGTGGAAATCAATGGTCCTAACTCCTAAATTTAACTTTTTTTGGCGATCTGGCCTCATGTTGGCTGGTGGGACAAAGCAATCAATCCACCAGTTCTGAAACCACAACTACTAAAGCTCAGATTATTTTCAGCACAGGAATGTTGTTGCTTGCCAGAAAACAAAATTAAACAACAGTCAAAAGAATGACACACTAAAAATAGCAGACAGTAACACCAACCAAACAATGAACTTTTTAGTACGATGATATGAAAATAAAAGGTATGGCTGTATCACAACTGACCTGACCAGCAAGATTTACAAAAAGGATGACCGCATGCAGCAGCATGAAGTAGATCACAAAGATAAGAATCAAAACATATCCCACAAGTCATCTGCCAAAATAAGAGACATGAAGAAATATGAAAGACAAAAGCTGCCAAAGTGTGTGTAGCAAACACACAGAGGATGCCCTGGCTCATAAAATAGAAGTTAACTCCCACTCGAGTTTGCATCACTTACTTCACTACCATCTCGAAATGAGACTACACGCTTATCCAATAAGCCAACAGACCTGCGAACCTTTTCCTCATCTGCAAACCATTCGTCATGTACTTTACTGACGTTCCTGTAAGCAGAAAATAAACATAAATCACTTGAAACATCAAGGCACACAAATCTATCATCATCAAGAGATAGCAAAAGTATATGCACATTGTCCAAAACATTGAGAAAAAAATGCTAATCTTCACTCTGCATTTACATTGCTGCAGTTAAGGTCCATTAAAAATATGATTATTATCCTATAAAATGGTATTAACTCCACCCACTAAGTTATCTTCTAAAAAAATAACATGTGGAATGCTTTAACCCCAGTTGCGGAGTTAAAAAACAGCAATGCTACCTAATAATAATCCTTAAAAATAGATTTTCAACAAGTGAAAAAATCTGAAAATTTCTGAAGGGACAGGAGTGAAGAGATTATCTAATACAGAAATTATACCAATAGTGATCACTCACCAGTTATAATAGTGTAGTAGAATGCCTGCTTCAACCTTTGAGATGGAAAGCACAGTAGATATCCTAGTGATGTCTTCCTCTTGACGTTGACGAATATCTACTTCACTCAAAATGGTATAATTTTGCTAATAAAAGAAGAGAGACATATTTAGGACAAGCAGCTTCAAAAAAAAATTAATAGATTAACAAAACAGGTTCAAATACACAAACTTTTCAGACCATAATGCCGAAAAATGTTATAAGCTTGTATTGCAAACCACAGTGTTAATATTCAGTCCTACAGAAAAAGGACTGAATGTGTGCAGTGCAAGTAAAAAGCCACTTATGACTTCTGCAAAACACATTAATTATAAAACCTACAAAGAAGTGTTTCATTCTCAGTCATTCAATTTGTGCTAGCAACTATGAACATTAGAGAAAAAAAGGTTTTACAGCCATTCACGGTGGAATGTCAAGCATATTCCCATTCGTGCTAACAGTAGAGCAACATAAAAACGGTGAAAGAAAAGGGTCAGAAAATTAACCAGTTTAACAAAAAAAAGGCAATCAGCACCTGCATGTTGGATTTCAAATTGTATTAAGTAATGGCAGCCCGCATGATTGCATTTTTTCATTATGTTGAACACTTTGACTTATAATTTTGATATGTTCATTCAACACCTAAAGTAACTAAAATTCAAAATGCTTGGGGAAAACCAAAATTCAAGAGGCTCATGGGAATTTTACTGAACCAAGGGGTTACAGGATCATTTTATTCTGCTATCTAATTTAATTATAGTAACCAATGCCATATACTATGGTCCATTTCCATTTGTTCTGTTTAGTAACAACCTTGGTGCTGCAGCAGTTCATTATCTAGTAAAAATTCGATTTGTGAAACCAAAAACTTCAAAATTTTGTGTATATTTACAAATTCTGAAGATTAAAAAAAAAGCAAAACCAAAATCAAGCATATCAAGGTAATCAATGTTTGCGAGCATTACCTCCTAAAGATGCTATAATTCGTTCAATAAAAGGCAAGCCTAATTCAACAATAACGCGGCCGAAAAAGAAAAAACAATTTGAATGAAATTAGATACTTTCACATTTGCACGAAACAATCATTCATTCGACAATCATGTTTAACCAAAAGCAACGCACGCCAACAAATGGCAACATAACCCACAAGATTGATACTGAAAAAAAGGCATGAGCTTTAAATTCTAAAGGAAAGAAGAACAAATACCTGATGACTATGAGACGAAAAATCAACGGAGTCATCGGAATCGTGATCACTGACCTCGTAACCAGCATCATCGGCATCGGAATCATCGTAAGTATCCATGGCCCCAGCATCATCATCGCCGTCACTGTAGAAATCGTCTTCCCCCGATTCGTTGGCATTGTTCATATAGAAATCATCCTCCGATTCCATTTGGCAGCAGCTGCTTTTTGTTTTCCTTTACCCCTTCGAAATTTGTACCAAAAATCAAACCTAATCAATAAATTTTGGGAGAAATTAAAGGAAACCAAAACCTAGCAAGAATAGTGAGATGAATGAAGGGGGAATGGGTGGTAGATACGTGGATAAGGGAATGGGAAGGGGGGAAAAAGCAGAAACGAAATGGAAACCGAAGGAAGAGGAATTTATTTAGAGCTCAATTAATTCTGGCTTTTGAGGAGTGGACAGTGGAGAATCGAAATGGGAAGCAATCACTTGATTTTATTTTATAGAGTTAATAATTATATTTAGCAAATATAAATTTAGTAATCCGAAATAAATGGGAATCAAATTCCAGATTTTTAACATCAAGGATGTATCGTATCCTTAGGTTAAGCAACGCTTAAGATTAATTTGATTAAACCAAAAAGCCCATTACGCCCGCCTTAAACGTGCTCCTGCAAACATGAATACACGTGTCAAATTCTTTGTAAACTATAATTTGCATCACTCAACTTTTATATCATTTCCTTTTTGGTCACTAAGTTTTAGAAAAGTTTAATTTAATTACTCAACTTATGAGATTGATTTTTTAATCCCTAGACAAATATTTCTATAACTCTATGATCACATGGTTTCTTTTTATTGATTTTTGATCCATATAATAGTCACCCAATATTTTGTTAATATTATTTTTATACATATTTATTGAATTAAGCTCTCCGCCGATTATTTCTAATTCATCATTTGTCGTTCTCATTCTATCACCTGTTATTCTATTATGTTGCCTCTCTTTCTAAATCGATCATTAATCGAACACTCACTCACTTCTAAAAACATTCGGACAATTGTTATATTATGTGGTACCTTATTTTCTAATCATATTTTTTTATATCGAGAATATTTATTTTATGACAATTATATCACTTTGGTTGTTATAATTTAAGGTGAAACTATTTTTTTCTTAGTATTTCAATAAAATTAAAATATAAATGAAACTCACTTCGAACTTTAGCTTTCCCAAGCATTCATATGAAGGTATTTCACTTGAATGTTCTTACATCAAAGAATAAGCTAATTAAGCACTTTTTTTAGGAGGACTTAATGAACAATTTGCCCCTTTAATTATATATGTTTTTATCGAATTGCCTCTAAAGTTTTTCCCTTCTTTGTCCTAACGTTTAATTATGTTACCCACTTTCATCCTATTTTTTAATGCTATTAATTTTCTTTTTCCAATAAAATTGTATCAAAGGACCCTTTTGACCTGATAAATACCAACCACTTCAATGAAAAATGGTCAATGATATATCTAATCTCTTAAGTTTTTTTAAATCTAATCTAATATTAATATTATTTATAATATTATAATATTTTATTATTTTTATTTAATAAACTAATATCATCTAATAAAATAACATGTGACATCATCTTATTATTCTATTAAGAAAAATTGGAATTACATAAAAGTGACGATATTTATATTGATATAAATAAGAAAAATGAAATTATGGATGAGAAGATTTAAATTAAAGACTATATACGAACCTAACGATCTTAGTGATTAAAGAATTTGTTATTATCTCTAAATGTAATGGGTTCGATCACCGAGATGGTACATGCGGAGTTTCTTTCATTCGAAACCTCATGATATTTTTTAATAGCACAAAAAGGAATGATAAGTTCTAGACGGTGAAAAAAGCACAGAAAATTTAGACATTCTACTCACTGCAGATCCATTCTCCATACCAATTATGTGGAACTTAAATGGGAAGAAGCGGTCTTTTTTCTTCCTCGTGAACACGATGACTAGCCTGGAGAAAATTAAAAATAGAAAAACATTAGTTATAGTAAATGCGGGAAAAAGTTAAAGATAAAACAGAATATTTTAATAGAAAACTGCCAGTGAAAGATCTGACATCTTCATTAGCTCCAGCAGTCATATTTAGCAACGATGCATCCTTAGACCTGATAAGATAACGGCAAGTTAGCACCTTTAGTTTACAGTGGATCAGAGAACTACAATACTGGGAAAACTGAGCATAACAACAAGATGTTGTAGTGTAATGAGATTGAGAAATACGTAAAAGGCGATTAACTTTTACTACAAAACAAAGGCAATGAGCTTAAACTGGAGGTGTCTCTTGTATCATTTTCGTTTTCCCTCATCTGGATATGTCCTAGCTCCCAAGTCCCAACCCAGGGTCTATAAATCATCATAATCATTCCCAAACTTCTAAATAGATGTTCCTTCAATGGCCTTCAACCAGCCCTCTGAATAAGTTCAACAATTGAACAGAATCGCAGGACACTCTCCAAATAAGTTCTCTCAGAACAGAATCGGTAGACCCAATTATGATGATACCTTTGTTGACCCAATAAAAACAATGTTTCTAGACAACAAAAGTTGATATGATATGTTAACAAAAAGGCATAAAAACATCTGAGATAAGTCTTAACTCTTAAGAACTCTTATTATTCCAAGGCCTCTTAGACTCCATTAGTCATCACTATCTGCTCATTTTAACCCTCCCTTTCAACTAGTTCATGATCAGGAATAGAAATAGACTACGGTCACTTTTGAACAATAAAGGAGAAAAATGAACCTTTGGAAATCATAGATCCAGTTATTTCCATAATCAACATCCAAGTATAGAGCAGTTTCCTCATGGTTCACAAAAATAGCATACAAGAAAAAGGTATACCTCTTGCTGTCTTGGCTATCCACCATCTCCAAACTACCACTTTGTTTTCCATTTTTAACCTTTGAAGTTGACGAAAAAAACTGAAAGGAAGAAAATATACACCACAATTATAAGCAGTCACTCCCTATCATCACAATAGCAGACAAAAGAACAACAGGGTATGAGTATAAAAAAATAAGCAGGTGTAGGTCTGTGTGTGCCTCACTGGCCAGCATAAGCATATAAGAGAACCTATATATGCTAAAATTACCTGATGCATGGAGATGATCACAACTGATATTCCTAAAACAAAGTTTATGGTCAGTGTGTGACCAAACAAAACAGCAGATGCTATGCCAGTAAATATCGTGGCAATAGTTGAGGAGTACTTTTTTCAAGATTGTATCTGCATGAAAAAGGAATCATACTTGAGAAGACAAAATACAAACAATATGAGAAGCCTATAGACAGTGAAAGATAAATAAAATAAAGTATAGTGCCACTAATAACGCAAGAGTCTAAAAAAAATGTGAACAGTCAGCCAAACGTAAGAGAATTTTAGTGTAATATACTGAAATATGGGAACTGGTTTGTCAAATTTTAGAAGGGTAGCCAAAGGAATTATGTTGTATCATAATTGTCAGAAAGTAGATTCCTAATTTAAAATTAACTAGGATCTTGTAAATAGTCTTATAATTCTTAACTTGAAGGGATTTAATCCTTACCTAGAATAGGCTACTTTCCTAGCATAAAAGTTTCCTAAGATAAGCTATTGTTCTGTGTATATAACCGTATACTTCTTCTATGAAAAATATAATGGAATTACTCCATTTTTGACATGATATCAGAGCTAGTATAGCCTATTTTCAGTCGTTGTTACCCCTTTTTTAGAAACCTTCTTGTTTATCAAAATCTTTTTTTAAGTACGTAATACTACCATGGTTGAAGTAGTCTACACTAGTAGTTCTAAAACTGCTTAGGAAGTCACAATGAATGAGGGGCATTATTCGAGTTCAACAGGGGATTTGCATAACGTATAATCTCCTTACAAACTGAATAGGAAAAATTACCTCAAGTGGTCTCAACTAGTTCGAACGTTACTAAAGAGAAGAGGAAAACTAAGTCATCTACTTGAGATAGGACCTAAAGTAGGAGACCCTGGGTTTGATGCTTGGGATGAGCAGGATTCACTGGTAATGTCCTGGTTGTGGAATTCCATGATTCCAAAAAATCAGTGATATGTGTATGTTCCTAAACACAACCCAAGAAATATGGAAGGCAGTGAAACAGACCTATTCAAAGGTTTGAGATGCATCATAAATCCATGAGATCAAGACCAAGATCTCATTACTAAACAATAAAATCGATCAATTACAAAATACTCCAATTTATTACAGAACCTATGACAAGAACTAGATCACTATCAGTGTATTCAAATGAGATACAGTGAAGATTCAGCCATTCTAAAAAGATTCGTAGAAAATGATCGAATCTATGATTTTCTTGCTCGACTAAATATTGAGTTTGATGTAGTAAGAGTTCAAATCCTTGGAAAAAAAGATATTCCCTCATTAAATGATATAATTGCAATCATACGTGCTGAGGAAAGGAGAAGAGGAGTGATGATCGAAAATAGTCAAATGGAAGGCTCAGCCCTATCACAAGGACTGTAATCGAGAAGAAATTTAGTCTGGAATAGACGATAAATGAAGAAAATAGGCAGGCGACAGTGAATAAAGACTCCCTATGGAGCACTTACTGGAAGAAGCATCACCACAAAAGAGAAAAGTGTTGAAAACTTCATGGAAAACCTCAAACAACAAATAATTTTTTTTAGAAAATGGAGGATAATAAAAGGGGCAAGGACGTGCATATGCAACAAAGCAACTTACTGGAAATTCTCAAGAACAGCTTGCTGAATTCAATAGAGAAGAATTTGAGAAACTTAAGAATCTACTAGGGCCCCTTGAGAAACCCTCTTCCATAAGTACATATAGTCTGGTTTTCTTAGGTATATCCTATTATAAATCATCGGATATACCTACCCAAAGTTCCTGGGTAATTGACTCAGAGGCTACAAACTTGACCAATTCTTCACTTAGACTTGTCATATATACATCTTGTTCTAGCAACAAGAAAATAACAACATCAGATGGTACAACTATAATAGTTGCTGGACAAGGGGATATTATCATAAGTGAAACCCTCACTCTTAAAAATGTTCTCCATGTTCCTAAGTTGTTCACTAACCTTATTTCGATCCAGAAAATAACCATAGACACTAACTGTTGTGTTCTCTTTTATCCCAAC